CTTTCTGTGTCCTCACAAGGTGTGTGTGTGTGTGTGTGTGTGTGTGTGTGTGTGTGTGTGTGTGTGTGTGTGTGTGTGGTGTAGCACGTGCATACATATGTGTATGTGTACTGTGCACTATGCAAGCGTCCCTGTGCCCCTGGTGTGTCTGTGTATTCATATCATCCTTAAAGAAAATAGGAACATTAAAACATTATGTTCCTGAGGGCTCTCTTCATATTCCCAAAAACCTAGCCATGTTAGGGAACAATGAGAGCAAGCCTGGGCCAATTGAATGTCCAGATACATATTACATTGAAGGACATTGACTTATGCACACCAGGAACTAAGGCAAGTTAATGTTAACTGTAAGAGCTTCTTTTCTTGCATGTACATCTTGACAGTTGTTCCTTGGGAGCTGGCCATACAAGCAAACTAAGCAAGACAATGCTGATAATGTCACAGCTTATGCAGATTAACATGTGAAACTCCTCTTTCAGTGGTAACTGGGAAAGAACTGAGGGCACTGTAGGGATGGACACCTGTCACTCATGCAGCTGGCCACCACCGGACAAAACACACCATGAGGAAGAGGTGGCATTGTTTGGCAGAAGTACAGTGGAGGGTTGGAGTGCTATCTGTTCAGCCCTACTGGAACTTCCCTGTAAACATTTCTCAATAAAGCCTTATGCCTTGGCTCTTGGCAACCTATCTCACTGCTCTGGCAAAACTGGGCCATAGATGTGATAGTATCTAAATTTCCTCTACTTATAAGGTCACCATTCAGATTGGATTAGAGCAATCCAAATGCTAAATTTTAACTTAATTACCTCTTTAAAGGCCAAGTCTCCGAATACAGATGGATTATGAGGTAATGGGGATTAGGGTTTCAACATATAGATTTGGCAGGGGAGAATAAAATAGAGCCATAACAAGGCATCTAAGAGATGGCAAGGCAATAGGGAATTACCAGACCAAACTTGGAAAGCTAGCATCTGGGAAGGTAAAGAAAGGCAGAAGCTGTTTGGCCCTGCCAGCTGGAAAATTATAACCTTCCTTTTGCACTTCAAAGAAAAATACTTAAACACAACAAAATGGGGACAGAAATAGGAGGAAGTCCTTCTAAAAACTGGGACCACAAAAATTTATATCCTTAGAATAAAGATGAATAAGAAGTGAAACAGCTTTAAAGTTATTTGCAGGCTGGAATCAACTTTCCTTTGTTTTTTTGGCTTCAACATCAGGTATTTTATTTTTCACAATTTTGATATTTGGGAAGTGCAAGGTATGTGTCTGGTGAGAGTTCTCTCCTTTTTAAAAAAATCTTTGTCATGATCTTTGTTTTAGTCAGCTTTTTTGCATTGTGACTAAAAGATCTGACAAACATTTTGGAGGAGGAAAAATTTATTTGGAGGCTCAAGGTTTCAGAGGTCTCAGTCCATAGACAGCAGGCTCTATTCCTCAGGGCTTCACAGGGGAAGAGTGTGGTGGTGGGAGGAAGCAGCTCACATGATGATCAGGAAGGAGAGAGAGAGAGAGAAAGAGGAAGAGAAAGAAAGAGGGACTCCACTTGCCAGACACAAAATGTGTACCCCAAAGGCATGCCCCCAATCACCCACCTCCTCCAGCCACACCCTACCCACCTTCAGTTACCACTCATTTAATTCCCATCAGTGAATTAACTTACTGCTTAGGTGAGGGATCTCAACCCCAATTGTTTCTCCTCCAAATCCCCTTGCTTTGTCTCACACACAAGCTTTTGGGGGGACACCTAACATCCAAACCACAACTAGAATGTCAATAGGACTGTGGACAGTAAAGACAGCGCTCAAGAGGGTTCAGAGAAGGAGAACTATTAAAATTTGAAGTAGAGGCCATTCACATTGTGTTCTGGCTGAGAAGTTGTCTACATTTGGTCCATGTCCTGAGACTTTCTGTGAAGTTGATTTTAAAAGCAATGGACTTCTTAATCTGGTGGAAGAAATTTCTAAGAAGCATAGCATTCAGGCAGTGGCATGGATAGTGCTGGAGGATTTTAGCCAAAGTTTATTTTGATATTCAGGAGAAGGCAGAAAAGAAATATTTGAAAAACTTAGACTTCAAAGGCAGGAGTAAAACTGGGGCTAAGGAAGTTGCAAATGATAAAGGCATTACAGCCACTAAGGAATGCTAAAGACTTTGCCCCCAAATAATAAAACAGATGGCTTGAGGGTATCTCAGGAGCTGGTAAGACCACACCCATCTCAGGCTCAGGGAGTAAAAGTAAAAAAGAGACCAAAGGGGCATCCTTGAACTAGGAGGCCTAGGAAGTTTTTTCAACGTGCTCAGCCACCCAGACACTCAGAGGCTGCTGCAGTCAGGGTCCCTGGAAGCTTTACCACTGCTCCAGATGGTGGCAATCTTGGTGGCAACCATGTGGTGATGGTTCTGCAGGAATGCAGGATGCTGGAGTTAGGGAATCATGGGGATTTCCAAGATTTCAAAGGAAGGTCTGGGAGGCCAGGCACAGTGCAGCAGGGTTGGAGTCCCCATGGACACCCTCTGAGAGGACAAAGTGTGGAGATGTGAGGAGGAAGACAAAGCTGTCCC